AATTTTGCTTCCATTTTTCATATTTGTTCCACGCATGTCTTCAGCATTCAAAGTTCAACAGATGCGAAACATTTGCAACAAAAGCAAAAGTTACAATTCAATTTCTCGGAATAAACAAGTCATTTTCTAAGCACTGACCCCCCATTTTTTATAATTTGTTTATATTTTTAACAAGTTCCAATTCAACTAAATTAGCTCGCAATTTTTCGTCAATAATGCCCAACAATTAATTTAATCTTTCGCAGGTTTGCGCTTATGGGATTGAACACTAGATAATTTCTTTTTCGATTCCACGGTAACTTCAAACAAAGAAAAAATTGAATAAGTAGATTAAGCAATAAACAGAGCTGTTATTTACTAAGTTGCAGAGTTATTAATCGGATAATTGTTTCTACTGATATCACATTGCAAAATAAATATGCTTTTTGTGTCTCCGTATCCCTAGTTAAGTTAAATTATTTATTATAATTTATTAAGTATTCTAGATTTCAAAAAAATAATTCTAGAATTTATATAAAAAATATAAATATCATATTATAAATTTAATTTCCGAAACTCGTTTTGGCGCCCCCTAAGGCTTGCGCCCGCATTTTTTGCATGCATCGCATGCAAGGCAGGACCGGCCCTGTATACACGCTATTCATTCTATTCAAATATGTCAACAAAATGCACACTTTTCAGTCAATTCAATATTATTAAAAAAGTGAAGTGAATAGTCCACGCTTTAGTCTATTCAAACATGTCAAAAAAATCAACATTTTTCAGTAAATTCAATATTATTAAAAAAGTAATAGTCCACGCTTTCAGTCTATTCAAACATGTCAAAAAAAATTTACATTTTTCAGTCAATTCAATATTATTAAAAAAGCCATAGTCCACGCTTTCAGTCTATTCAAACATGTCAAGAAAAATCTACATTTTTCAGTAAATTCAATATTATTAAAAAAGTAATAGTCCACGCTTTCAGTCAATTCAAACATGTCAAAAAAAAATCTACATTTTTCAGTCAATTCAATATCATTAAAAAAATAATAGTCCACGCTTTCATTCTATTCAAAACATGTCAAAAAAAATCTACAGATATCCTTAGATGTTACATCTTTATCCAAAAGCCAAGAATACTAGACAACAATTTATAACACAATGCAATAATAACCAGGTTGCAAATGAAACGTATTTATGGATTGAAAAGAGTAAAAATGGATAAAGTAATGTAATTGTTATGTCGGAAAATTAACGTAATGTCACGCCGCATACTAACTATACTATAAACGCGACAAAAAAAAATATCGCTACCAATTTATTATTAATAAATACTTGCCTTATGCAGATACTAAAAATCCAAGTATTTAATGTGGACTTTTACCGCTACTTTTTCTCCTTTGATTTTTTCTCCTCAATTGTCAGCAAGAGAAAAGGAGGGATTTCCCAATACCGCATTAACCGTCGTCAATTCGAAATGACATTGATAGTTACTAAAAATTAAATTGAATAAAAATAAATGTGATACATAATTCTAAGAACACTAAAGACAAAAATAAAAGTGATAAACATAAAATTTAAAAATATGAATAAAAAAGAAATAAGCAAAAATTTGTAAAAATTATATACTAAGAACAACAAAAATGAATGCATATACTAAAAAATAATAAAAATGGTAATAAAAATATAAATTAAAATAAATATAAAAACACAACCACATATCAATAATAAAATATAAACAGTAGAAAATATACATTTAAATTTAAAAATTAAAAGAAAAGTACAAATGTAGAACTTTAGTATGTTAAATAAATACAAAATTTATTAAAAAAAATTAGTAAAAATAAAAATAATGAATAAAAATGTCAAAGATATGAATAAAAATAGTAAAAAAAAACAAAATTAAATAAATCTGATATACAACAAATGAGACATGACAATTAATTTCAATCAAATATATCTAGACTTATATATTTATATTTAGAGCATATGTCTTATATTTATTTGTATTTGTATATTTATTATGATAAACAAACTAAAGTGTGATTTTACTGATTGGCCAGTGCTTGTGTAATGTAAGTCTCCAATAAATTACCCATCCAACTGAGCATCATCGTGGACATCAGAATCATCTTTACAATCTGCTAAGCCCCATTCTGATATTTCTCCAGAAATATTTCTAAAAACTATAATAAAAATAAAAGACAAATATTATCAAAATTAAGAGAAAAACAAGCATAGCAGCACAACAATAAAAAAAACATAGGTACCACAATTTCTTGCAATATTACAATAATAAACAACTATATTATAATCCAAGTTCTCTGAAAACTAAACTATTTCAATTTTTATTAATTTCTTTTGCATTTTATTTTGTTTTGGGAAAATAGATTAAGTTCTTGTGGAAATATTTAAAAAAAAAAAATTAGTATTCACTTTTGAAATTAAAAAAAAAGTTTTATTAGCACTTACCAAAAATTGAACTAACATTTTTAATAGTTCAAATAATATACATATGTATAGTTGGCTATATATTAAATGTGTGAAAAATTTCAAGTAATTTTATGTTTAAATTTGCATTAAGAATAAAAACCTAAAGTCAGCGCTACATATAAGTTTCAAAGTGGTTTCAAATGAAACGAGTTTATGGATTGAAGAGGGTAAAAATAGAAAAAGTAACGTAATTTACAATGTCATCCCGCATAATAACTATACAATATAATAGGAACAAAAGAATATATCGCTACCGATTTATTATTGATAAACACTTGCCTTATGCATGTAGATAGCAAAATTCAGATTCTTTTTTCTTCTTTTTGAAATTATTTATATATAAGTTTTATATAAGATAATTATAAATTACTATTGATGACTTCGCAAAGTACAAGCTCGCAATATTTGTGTTTCCCTTTTCCACCTGCCCAGCTAAACTCTCTGGCCAAGCCATGATCAAATATTAATTTGAATAACTTTACTGTTACAGATTTAGCATTCCTGCCACCTGTCCTAGCCAAATACAAAATCTAAAAATAAAGTTAGTTTATAATAAAGCTAACTAATAAAAATAAATCGATGTAAACTTGTGATTACCAGTTGTGTTTTCACATCCTTGTTTGTGAGACTATCCTCCACGTCTTGAAGTTTGTCATTTGAACAAAGTGGAAACAATTTTAAAACGTCCTTGAATTGGCCCATGTCACTCATGACAGTCTTAGGAGACTGGTACGAATCCATTCGCAACATCATCTCTTTCGAGTGCTCCACAACGCTCTCATGGTCAATCGTATTTTAGTCATCTCCCTGACAAAAATTTCTTCGCCTATTGAATCTAGCAAGATAGAAATGCCAGCATTATAAAATATATATTTGTACTAGTAACATAATATTTCAAATACCATGCAGTATACAAAAAGCTTTACATACAATTGTTATCTTTGTTCCTTCCAATTTGTCTGCTGCTGCCTGCTTTTGTAAAGAATGGTGGTAGATAAGCTATCAGGGTAAAAATGTCCGAATTAAATAAAAATATTTGCACTTGTAACTTAACATTTCAAATAGCATGCAGTATACAAAAAGCTTTAATTACCATGGTAACAATGCATTGTTAAAATCTTGACCCCTTTCAATTTGTCTTCTGCTTCGGCTTGCTTTTGGAACAGATGGAGACGCCGGCGGTAAATAAGCTAGCAGGGTAGAAATGTCAGCATTATAAGAAATATATTTCAAATACCATGCAGTATACAAAAAACAAACTTACCATTGTTAATATCTGTTCCGCTGCAGCTTGCTTACGGAACAAAACAAGGAACAGGTGGTGGTGCTGACAAATGTGAAGATGAGTGTAATACCTTCGCCCTATCTCTCCTCTGCTGAGTTGTTTCGTACTCAGAACCATTTTAAATGTTAATTTGAAGAACCTCATTTAAAATGTTAATTTGAAGTCACCACTAGAAGTCACTATTTTTTTAAATGGATAATAATGGGGCAGTGCTCCTAACCTAATCCATTTTTTCCACAGCCTTATCAAAAGCAAGATCAGACTTGAATCGCCCTCAGAGAGCCTTATTATTTGAGAAATTAATCCAATTCCTTGGTATTATACTCAGGCCATCCTCAAATTCTACTATGTGGAATTTCTTGCTTTCGTAATTAGCTAAATTGTAACTATAACTATTCAAGCGCAAGGAATCAAGGAAGAAATGAAAATATAAACTTAACCTACTAAGCCTCTATTTCTTTGTTCTACTCATTGAGCAATTGTACTTTCTTAAGAAAAAGGCAATCGTAAGCAGCTTCCAATCCTCGGTTTGGAACAGCTTCCACTCCTCGGCTTGGAACAGCTTTTATATAATCAATTTTATATAATCAAGATTTTTTTTATAAATTTACCTCTTACATTGAGGCCGGAGTTGGACCTCAATGACTTCCAGTCAATGAGGTCAGAAACCCCTGCTACAGCTGCACCTGTACATTATAATAATATACAAATATTGATATATTTTGTAAATGAAGTAGTTTAATACCTTCCCTATCAGAGGTGCCGCTCTCTGATTCAGATACCACTGCAGCCTTTCTTTTTTATACCCCTTGCCTAATTCCTCATGCGAAGTATATTTAGAATCCTCGGCTTGTTTTCTCGCCGACATATATGTGTCTAGAACAAATATTGAAGTTAAGATAGCTTCCAACACTTCAATACTTCATATTTAAAAGTTATTTCTCATCATAAAACTCGACAAAAGTTATTGTTTTTTTAACTCACTCTGACTTAGTTACTGAAGTTTGCTTTGCAGCTAAAAACGTACATCATATGCGCAGGGGGCCACCACACTTCAGTAATATTTTCAGTAGCGTTTTCCACAATCAACCATTTAGATGGAACCTCGAACTTTTCATTATGCTGTAAATAAATTAACAATGCCCAGTGAAGGTTAAGTATATTAAAAATAAATTAATAAAAAAACATGTGAAATAAGAATAATGAAATAAATAGATAAGTAAATAAATCTAGTTACTTAATATCTTAAAGCATATTCCGTCCAATAAATCACCCTTTCTAGAGAAGTTTTTCTGATTCCTCTGCAGATACCATCTCTCAAGATGTTTTATCCTTAATTGTGGTTCACCCGCAATCTGAATCAAGAAAAAAAAATAATATGAAGCCTATGTACGAAAATCTATAATCAACATATGAATTATTTGATTTTGTATAAATTTTTCATATGTTTTTAATATGATAATGAATTAATGCTCAATCGATACATCAAAGGTGAACTACTACAATTGTGATATTAATGGCCGATTAAACTCATTGTTAATGAAGATGTCAAAAATTTAGAGAAATAGACAATGGAAATCCACCACACAATATAATAAAAGAAGTCTACACTAAATGCCTGTAATTATATACCATTGGGTTAGCAGCGCGTGACTGTTAAGGGGGCTCCATTTTTCCATTTTCAAACAAGAATTGAATTAAAATAGTATAAAAATTTACAGTGTTCAATTATTATTTGCCTTGAGCTGCAAGTGACTTAATAGATAAGTGAACTACTAAACAAGTATAATACCTTCATATCTCAAAGCCTTAAAAAAAATCCGCCCTTTCTAGAGAGGTGTTTCTGATCCCTCCACAGATATTACCTTTTAAGGGCTGCTATCTTTAATTGTGGTTCACCGGCAACCTGAATCAAGAAAAAAAATAATATAAAGCCTATTTACCAAAATCTATAATCGACATATGAATTATATGATTGTGTATAAATATTTCATATATTTTTAATAGGATGATTAATTATTGCTCAATCGATACAACAAAAGTGAACTAATACAATTGTAATATTAATGGCCGATTAAACACATTGTTAATTAAGACGTCAAAAAAAAAATTTAGAGAAATCGTCAATAAAAATCCACCAGTAACATAATCTACACTAAATGCCTGTTATCATACTTTTCAAATATTATTCGATTAGCCGCTAAGGAGGCACCATTTATCCATTTTTAAACAATAACTTTATCACTTTTACACGATGCCAAAGAACGCGTTGACAACTTGAACTAAGTTTGCACTTGCACAAACCGTACGTAACTTTAGGAGTCACCGAATGCACAATATTTCTTGCACAATTAACTACAATATTTCTAAAATATTCACTTCTTGAAGGGATTTTTCTTTTTGCCATGTGTTTGCAATGGAGTCTCAAAAGAAGAACTAAAACGCTTTCAACAAAATTTGACAGGTCGCCCATAGATGTAATGGATGTATATAAAGATGTGCAACTTCAGAGTTGACGATCAATGTATCATAGCGCCAATTTTAAATTTAAATTTTGACAAACTATCAATTAATATAACAAACTAGCAAATCTGACGAACTCCGTTTCGCCACCAGATGGTTTCGTGAGAAAGATGAAGAAATTTTTTGTTTGTTTTATATTTGAAAAGGAAAAATTTGATCAGGAAGGAAAACCCGTCTTATTACTCGATTATTTTTATTACTCGAATTTTTAATTACGGTGCGTGAAGTTACAGCAATTTGCATTAGGGCACGATGCCATGCATCACTAATTTTCTTAGTTATAAACCTTGCGGAGCCCGAGACCTTTCCAGCGAATGCAAAATTGTCGAAATCGGTTCGTGCGTTCTGGAGTTATTTCGCCAGGAAGGAAAACCCGTATTATTTTTAGATATATAGAAGATAATCTATTTGCAATTATTTAAAACAATTATTGATTATTTTTATTACTCGAATTTTTAATTACGGTGCATGAAGTTCCAGCAATTTGCATTAGGGCATGATGCCATGCACCACTAATTTTCTTAGCTATAAACCTTGCGGAGCCCGAGACCTTTTCCAACGAATGCAAAATTGTCGAAATCGGTTCGTGCGTTCTGGAGTTATTTCGTCAGGAAGGAAAACCCGACTTATTTTTATATATATATAGAAGATTGTTATAGAATTTAATTCAAATTGCTAACTTTAATTTGAATTTACGCATAATAAATATTTAATATTGTACAGATTTATCAAATATTTACTTTATATTAAACAAATGCTTTTAAAGTTACAAGACATATAATAAAAATGCATATGTGAAACTATTAAAGTCGTTATTCAAATTTATAACAATTTTCTATCAAAATCTACTTGGGCACATCAATAATAAATAACACAAATATTATCTACACCTCTTTTATCTATGTGCCTAACAGATATAAAAACTTGGCATAATTTTTAAAGTTTTCATTTTAAAAATTTATCAAATAAAATTAACAATAATCATCTCTCCTATCAACCTTTGTTATAACATTATTGCAATAAAATATTTACATGAGCTGTTGATAACATGGTAATATTTAAAAATTGTACAAATTGACTCTTATATGCATATTATTTTATTGCATAATCATTTACAAACTAGTCGTGTACGGCATCGTGCATGAGGTAAATTGCTGAAACTTCTCGTACCGAATTAAAATTCTGAAAATCCGAATTATTTTCGGTGCTCAAATTTTTTTTTTTGGAAATTAAAAAAAAATTAAAAGAAGGTCTTTTCCCAAAAATGATCGTTTGGACAACACAAGCATAAAGTTTTTTGAATCTTTCAAATCGGATACTTATTTCTCTCAAAAACTGCAATTTTTTGCATATTAAGCTCAGTATCTCCGAAACGGCTGAACCTACCTTTGCCAAAAACTAATCACCACTTCCTCCCATCATTACGAATTGAATGATTTTTGAATCATTCAAAAACTCGATTTCTATTTTCTGCACCCTTTGCTCCGTATCTCCGTAACGGCTGGATCTACCTTTGCCAAAAACTAATCAGCATATTTCCCTATCAATAGGAATCGAATGTTATTCGAACCATTCAAATCGGTTGATCCGTGTGCCCAAAAAAAACACACACATTCATTTTTTCTGAGGCATGCCAAACTGTTCAGAAACTTCTGAAACGTGAAGATATGCTAAAATTTTCATTTTAGATTTTCGGCTCATACTATAACTTAACCAAGAGGAAGTAAGTTATAACAATCGCAAAAAAATCGAAAATAATTTTTTTTGCATATCTTTATGTTTTAGATGTTTCTGAACATTTTGGCATACCTTAGAAAAAATGGATGTATGTGTGTGTGTATATCTTTGGATACAATGTTTCGTCCATGATTTCGGGCGCAAGAATCAAGCGATTTTGATTATTCAAAAAACATTCGATCTCAATTGATGGAAAGATGTACTGATTACTTTTTGGCGAAGACAGGTCCAGCCGTTTCGAAGATACGGGGCAAATAGTGTCAAAAACAGTTATTCAGTTTTTGGCCCGATTAGAATGATTTAGAAAACATTTTGTTTATATTGGCAAAATAAAGAATTGATTAAATTTTTGAAAATGCGGGTCTAGCGGTTTCGGAGATACAGAGGCTAAACTAAAAAAAAGATATTGGGACGTCAAACATGATCATTAGACATACGTACATCAAATTATCAGATATGTTATAAAGATTTTAGAAATATGTATCAATCAGTATCAATTTTGTTTACATTTCTATGGGTTCCGCAACATCGTTTGCCCGTTGGACGGCTTCACGGCGCTTACGCGCTTCGATATTTCATTTCTATGCAGCTAAGGCAGAGCGATTGCTTTAAAAAAGTTCAAAATTTTCAAAATATTTCAAAAGGAAAAAAAAAACATTTTTCTCAAGTTCAAAAGAAATTTAATTTTTTCTTAAAAAATAATTTTTGGTACGTGAGGTTACAGTAATTTGCCTTAAGGCACGATGCCATGCACCACTAAAGTTCGATGTTTGCCCCATAACTATAAACTTACCCTACGGGAAGTTAATAAAAATAATTACGTTTTTTATAATACAGTTTATTATACGGTCTGGTCTATGCATAAATAAATAAGCACGTCTATGGTTTTTAAGCATAGTTTCTGTCGGTTGGTACGCTTGTCATTTGACATTTGACATTTCGACAAGATTTTTATTTGTGTTCAAAACAATAATGCAATACACAAATTAAGTGAATTAAATATTAAAATGCACTTAAATAATTTAATTACCTGTTATATTTATTATTCAAGCCAGCAATGAATCCTCCATAATACATGACAGAAAACATCACAATGGAGAAAACTTGTGATGTAAGTATTAAATCAGAAGTATGCTCTGAAGACGAAAATAATTTAGAGGACACAGAGTATGAAATTAAAGAAGAAATTGAAGAAGATTCAGAATCCATTCATAATGAAGAAGATGCAGAATCCATTCATATTGAAGAAGATACAGAACCCATTCATATCCCAATAGTATCTTTTGAAGATGGTGACAAACCAGAGGAAGAAATCCCACCTCCAATCATTCCATTCGACTTACAAAATGCTTTAGAGAATTCCTTACTCACCAAACCAGAGCCTACAAAAGAAAAACCATACCAATGCTCACATTGTTTCAAACTATTTGCCCGAAAAGGTGATCTGAATGGCCATGTGCGTATCCACACCGGTGAAAGGCCTTATGAATGCAAGTTTTGTGACAAAGCATTCGGGAGATTACATGTACTCAAAAACCATTTGCGAATTCATACAGGTGAACGTCCTTTTATTTGCACATACTGCAACAAAGCTTTCACTGAGCGCAGCCATTTAACAAAACACACCAGGATACACACCGGTGAACGACCTTACAAATGCGAACACTGTGATGAAACCTTTACCGCACAATTTAGTTTAACACAACACAAACTTTTACCAAATTCTATTAAATCATTCACCTGCACAGTTTGTGATGACGTTCTGCCCTGCAGGAAGAGTCTTGCTAGGCATCTTCGAGATCATAGGAAGGAAAGGTCTCACAAATGCTATATTTGTGGAAAAGGATTTGCTCGGGTGGCTCATCTGACTGCTCATTTGTATGTTCATGCTAACGAGAGGCCGTTTAAGTGCACGTTGTGTGATAAAGCGTTTAATCGATTGGCTAATTTAAGTAGACACAAAAAAATACATATGAGAGAAATTGTTCAAAACGAGACGATGAGTGAAGAAAAAGTAAGTGGATAAATGAATTAAATGTGTAAAAAGAGATTTTATTAAAAACTTGGTGTTTTTGTATTAAGGATTTTATTATGTGAATTATTTATTTTAGTATGTATTTATTAAGGATGTAATTGTGCATAACTTTCTGCTGTAATAGTGGGTATTATGAATGTAAAAATATAAATGTAAACATATATTTATAAATTATATATTAAGAAAGATTTATATTTGTTTTTATTTTTTATTTTTATGGGAGGGTAAGTTATAATAGCAAACAAAAATTTAAGCTAGTTGTGTATGGCATCGTGCCTTAAGGCAAATTGCTGGTACTTGCCGTACCGAAAATAATTTTTCATAAAAAAAACTTCAAATTTTTTTGAAAACATGGAGATTTTTGAAAATTTTGAAATAATTTGACTTTTTTGAAAAATTAGAATTTCTTGTTTATATTGTGATTCTTTTTAATTCTTTGATTTTTTTATTTTTTTTTTTCAAAGCAACCGTGCTGCGTGATTGTTTTAGAGAAGAAATATTAAAGCGCGTAAGCGCCGCATCGCAGTCTAAAGGATAAACATTGATTTCTACTTATTAACTTCCCGTAGGGCAAGTTATAGTAATCGCAAAAAAATCGAAAATGAAAATTTTTGCATTTCTCGACGTTTCAAAGGTTTCTGAATATTTTGGCATACCTTAGAAAAAATGGATGTATGTGTGTGTGTGTGTGCGTGTGCGTGTGTTTGTGCGCGGATACAAATTTTCGTCGACGATTTCGGGAACAACGATCAACCGATTTGAATAATTCAAAAAACATTCGATTCGTATTGATAAGGTGACGTGCTGATTAGTTTTTGGCGAAGGCAGGTCTAGCCGTTCCGAAGATACGGGGCAAAAAGTGCCGAAAACGGTAACTCAGTTTTTAAGAGAACGGAGCGTCCGATTTTGATAATTCAAAAAACATTTTACTTGTGTTGACAAGGTGAGGAACCGATCAAATTTTCATAAAGGCAGGTCTAGCGGTTTCGGAGATCTAATGAAAAAAGTAAAAAAAAATGCAATTTGGCGGTCAAAAATAATCATTAGACATATGCACATCAAATTATCAGATATTTTATAGAGATTTTAACAATAAGTATAATTTTGGTTTACATTCCTATGGGTTCCGTACCAATATTTACGCGTTAGACGGCAACGCGGCGCTTACGCGCTTTGATATTTCGTCTTTATGCAGTAAGGGCAGTACGATTGCTTTGAAAAAAGTTTAGATCTTGCAAAATATGTCAAAATAAAGAAAACATTTTTTTTTTCAAAAAACAAGTTAAAAAAAAATTTTTTTTTTTTAAATTTTTTTTTTCAAAAAAAGTAATTTTTTGTCCAATTTATAGTTTCTCACAAATCTTATTTTTTCGAAGTAAAATTTTTTCAAAAATGTTAATCGTTTTTAAAAAAATAATAATTTTTGGTACGGGAAGTTCCAGCAATTTGCCTTAAGGCACGATGCCTTAATTGCCTTAAGACAGAATTCCACTTACAGCTAGTTAATAATCTCTATAAAATATCTGATAAATCGATGTGCATATGTCTAATGATCATTTTTGATCGCCAAATGGCATTTTTTTACTTTTTTCACTAGATCTCTAAAACCGCTAGACCTGCTTTCCCAAAAATGTAATCATCATCTTGTCAATACAAGTAAAAATAAAATGTTTTTTGAATTATTAAAATTGGAAGCTCCGTTCTCTTAAAAACTGAATTACCATTTTTGGCTCTTTTTGCCCCGTATCTTCGAAACGGCAAAACTTGTCTTTATCAAAAGCTAATCAGTGCGTCTCATTATCAATACGAATCGAATGTTTTTTTTTTTGAATTATTTAAATTGGTTGATCCGTGTTCCCGAAATCGTCGACGAAATTTCTTCTAAGGTATGCCAAAATGTTCAGAAACCTCTGAAACGTAAAGATATATAAAAAAATCGATTTTCGATTCTTTTGCGATTACTATATACTTACCATACGAGAAGGTAAAAATGAAAATTTCTTCACATTTTAAAGACTTCTGAACATTTCGGCATACCTTAAAAAAAATGTATGTGTTTGTGCGTGTACTATGTTTGGATACAGTTTTCGAAAGCACGGATTAACCGATTTGAATGATTCAATAAAAAACATTCGATTTCTATTAATGGAAAGACGCGTGCTGATTAGACGTGCTTTCGTAAAGGCAGGTCCAGCCGTTTCGGAGATATGAAGTAAAATGTGCCAAAGATGGTAATTAACTTTTAGAGAGAACAGAGCATCCGATTTGAATGATTGAAAAAACATTCAATTTGTAATAATGAGAAGACGTGGTGATTAGACTTTGGCAAAGATAGGCCTAGTCGTTTAAGAAAACAAAGATTCAAAAAATTTGGTTTTGAATTTCAAAAATGATTCGGATTTAAATTTCAATTCTAGATAAAATACTAAAACTTACTTATATACTTCAAAAAATAATTTTAACTCTGCAATTCAGTTTATAAAATTCGTAGAAATATGAGATAAGGGTCCAATTTATAAGTTCTTATATTTTGTCTATAAAGTACGAATAATAAAAGTTACAGTATTTATAATAATCTATTTGAAAATACTTAATATTCTTCGAATATTTCATTACGGTTCGGGAAGTTCCAGCAATATGCCTTAGGCACTATGCCATGCACCACCGGTTTATTTTTAACTTACCATAGGGTAAGTTATAGTAATCGGAAATAGTAAAAAAAAATGAACCTTTTGCACATCATCACGTTTCAATTGTTTCTGAACATTTCGGCATACCTTAATAAATGGATGCATGTGTGTGGTAACAGAGTTCAACCGATTAAAATTATTCAAAAAACATTCGATTCCTGTTGATACAGAGACGTTCTAATTAGTTTTTGGCAAAGGCAGGTCTAGCCGTTCAAGTATATTTCAGTTTTTGTGTGAACGGAGCGTCCGATTTAAATAATTCAAAAAACATTTTACTTGTTTTGATGAAATGAACAACTAGTAAATTTTTTGTACAGGCAGGTCCAGTGGCTCCGAAAATCTAATAAAAACAAAGTAAAAAATAATGCCATTTTGAGGTAAAAAAAATCATTAGACATATGAACATCAAATTATCAGACATTTTATAAAGATTATAATAATGAGTAAAAATTATTTGTACAAGTTTCGCACCAATGTTTACACGTTAGACGGCGACTACGCGCTTTGATATTTCGACTCCAAATAAGCTATGCAGCGCGATTGCTTAAAAAGAAGATCGAAATTAAAAAAAATCAAAATACAAAAAAAACAAAATATTAACAAATCTAATTTTACAAAAAAGACATTTTTTTTTAAAAAATTAAAATTTCTCAAAAATCTAATTTTTCCAAAGTTTTTTTTAATAATTTAGTTTTCGGTACGGAAAGTTCCAGTAATTTGCCTTAAGGCACGTTGTCATGCACCACTAGTTTAGATTAAAAAACAACAACATATTTTACATTTAAATGCTTTGACAACGCGCGTTAATAGCAAGTAAATGTTGGTACTACTGTTTGCAATGTTGACATATCTAATTTCATGGCAGTGTGTAAGAAGTAGAAACGTCAAAGTATATTATGGAATTATATATTGAATATAAACAAAACTACTATAAATATTTATTAACACATATTTATGCCACATGAAAACGGTTAAAATAAAAGCTTTTGGAACTTCTAAGAAGCCATTATTAGTTTGTTTACAGGAACCAACATAATGTCTCAAGAAACTACAATTAAAATTGAACCAATCGAATATATTCAAGTTAAACAAGAATATGATGATTGTCCTCAAGAGGAGCAAGAATTTAATGATTATGCAATATGTCCTGAAATATGTCTACAAGAATTTTTAAAAACTGAGATAAAAGAAGAGGAAGAACCAAAGCAAGACATGATCAATGAGCAAGATGCAGCAGGCACTGGTACAAACGATACAAGTGTAGGCCTAAGCCATTTCCTTATCCCTGACACAACCAATAACCCGAAACAACTCCATAAGTATGAATGTAAAGTCTGCAACAAAATATTTAAAACAACACAAAAATTAAGGCGCCATGAAATTGTTCACATTAAAGTACAACCTTATAGATGTGAAACATGTTACAAATCATTCAAAGAGGAAGACTCGTTAAAAGTGCATGAAAGGACCCACACTGGGGAACGCCCTTACGAATGCACAATGTGCAATGAAGCATTCACCACAAAACAAAAATTAAACCGACATGAAATGATCCACACCGCGGAGAGCGTCCATATAAATGTGAGATATGCGATAAAGTTTCAAATCCAACTATTCATTCATCGCCATGAAATTTTCCATGCTGGGTTGAGACCTTATTAAATGCAACTCTGCGATAAAGCATTTACCCAATCAGGTCATTTGAGGATTAGCAGTGCACAGTGATGAATACCCCCATCAATGTGAGACTTGTTATAAAGCATTCAAATTAAAAGAATCCTTAAAACAACATCAATTAATTCATACTAAAGACTCGCCTCATCAATGTGAAATATGCAATAAAACATTCACAAGAAAACGGTCACTGAACCTACATGTAATAATCCATACCGGTGAACGGAGTCATGAGTGTGAAATATGCAATAAAAAATTCTCGACATCGAGTATTTTAAAAAGGCATATGGCAATACATGAGTAAATAATTACAAATAAATATTGATGTTTTAGTTGCTTTGGGATCTTATTGATTTATTATTATGGAAATAATTAAGATATTAATACAGTCTATTATATATACTTCATAATTTTGTCATTATTTATTCACTTATGCAAAAAGAATTTAATTTTTCATACGCTTATAAAGATATGTATCAGTATGTGTATATATAATATATATAATATATATAATATATATATATATATATATATATATATATATATACTAGCAAACCCGACGAACTCCGTTTCGCCACAATTTTTTGTTTGTTTTATATTTGAAAAGGAAAAGTGTGATTTTTTTATACAACAGTAATGAATTTCTTTCAATTACAAAAATGAATTGTTTTTTAGTTGAACTTCTCAAAGTAAATAAAAGTGAATCCGCAAATTATCCGTTTTATGAAGTGCTCTTTGGTAAACCACATTTTTTGTTTTTTGGTCTGACGTTAACACAAACAAAGCGGATGGATTTCCAACTCGTGAACAAGCAACGTATAACTGCCCATGTAAAAAACTATGATTTTCTAAATAATCTATTTGAAATTCATCCCGCAAACACGAAGCGATTGGCCTAGCGACTTGTTATTACGAACGCAAGGCGAACTGGAAATTGCAATCGTTTGAAATAAGCTTGCATTAAGGCACGATGCCATGTACAACTAATTTTTTTAGCTATAAACCTTGCGGAGCCCGAGGCTTTTCTAACGAATGCAAAATTGTCGAAATCGGTTTGTGCGTTCTGGAGTTCTATCGTCAGGAAGGAAAACCCGACTTTATATATATATTGAACTGTAATTGTGTGGTTGTTTGGATCACTTCTGAGATTATGGGAGGTTGTTTGATAGCTGGAGCTGAGCGGTTGATGAGATAAAAACACTGGTTCTTGGTTGATCTTGATATTTTATTGTTTACTATTTTCACAATAAATAATTTGTTGATACCTTTTGGTTATCAATAATCAGAGACCTTGCATTAAGGCACGATGCCATGTACAACTAATTTTTTTAGCTATAAACCTTGCGGAGCCCGAGGCTTTTCTAACGAATGCAAAATTGTCGAAATCGGTTTGTGCGTTCTGGAGTTCTATCGTCAGGAAGGAAAACCCGACTTTATATATATATTGAACTGTAATTGTGTGGTTGTTTGGATCACTTCTGAGATTATGGGAGGTTGTTTGATAGCTGGAGCTGAGCGGTTGATGAGATAAAAACACTGGTTCTTGGTTGATCTTGATATTTTATTGTTTACTATTTTCACAATTAAATAATTTGTTGATAACCTTTTGGTTATCAATAATCAGAGACTACATTTTTTAAGTATTTAAACAGTAAGCCTGACTTGACTCCTGACTTCTGACTAACTAACTAAATCTTAACTACTTCTTATATACTAAATAATTGTAAACAAAACGTGATTCCAAAATCTAACAGCAAGGCCAGAAGAACTACGGATAACCTTCAAATAGCATGTAGGGCTTTAACGAAAACAATAAATAACAAATTATATTTGTGATTACAGAATAATATATATAATCTATTTGAAATTATTTTAAACAATTGTTGACTATTTTCATTGCTCGAATTTTTAATTACGGTGCGTGAAATTCTAGCAATTTGCATTAGGGCACGATGCCATGCACCACTAATTTTCTTAGCTATAAACCTTGCGGAGCTCGAGACCTTTCCAACGAATGCAAAATTGTCGAAATCGGTTCGTGCGTTCTGGAGTTATTTCGTCAGGAAGGAAAACCCGGCTTATTTTTATATATATAGAGATATATATATATATATATATATATATATATATATATATATACTAGATGACCCAACAGATGTCCTGTATGCCTACAAAAGTTAAAAAATTTTTAATCTCATATCCTATACTTTTTAATATCCCATTTAATGTCCTGCCTTTGTGATTCATTTATAGTCTTAGCATAAGCAGTATAAGAACTTCAGAAAAAAATAATATAATATCTGCGATAAAAGTACAACATCACACTTGATTTTACCACACAACATAATTGCTTCAATAATATTGTCTTATTAATAATTTGTATTATAAAATATTTGTATTATTAAATAATTTAGTAAAGTAAACCTAAATGCGACTTAAGTTTTAAAAAAAAAATCTATATGCAATTTTGGACTTACTGCATTATTTACTTAAACTGAATTATATAATTTCATCTGCCCATCATATACCGTTCACTGTATCTTATATTATTTTCATTTCTGGCACAACTCAGCTGCTTTTCAGCAATAATAATGTAGACATTACATTTTTCTTGTATATTATATTCTAATATTATCTAGGCTCATATTTTCAGCTAAATTCAAGTTTCAAGTTAATTGACATTTCAAGCAGATGAGATATTCAAATGTTTTTAATGTCAAACAATGATAAGTGGTTTTTTGAATTTTTGCCATTTATTTCTACAATCTTATATATGAAATTCTTCTGTAATGATGTATGACAGGATAATCCTCCTAAACGATTATTCGGATTTTGATAAATCTTTCTGAAGTTTGTTAAGGGAATTTTTTAGGATGCATGTGATTATAAAAATATAGTTATATTCAAGAAATAAATGGAAAAAATTACACAAAAACCGCTTATCATTGGTTGACATTGAAAAAATTTAAGGCATTGTTTGGCATTGAAAACAAAATGAAGACTGTCATCTGCCAAACATTTCAATTCACTTATAGGCTAAGACAAGATTAAAATATAATATATTTATGAATATAAATAAGAAAAATGTAATGTGTACATTATTATTGCCAAAAAGCAGCTGAGATGTGCCAAAAATTAAAATTGATTGTTGATTTTAGATAGGATAGTGCACATATGAACAGGATTTGACCAATTAATTCACTTAAAATATGAACTTAAGTAATAATGTATATCAAATTATTATTAAGAAACATGTAATTTAGATATTATTACTGAAAACAATTCATATATATTATGAGATTATATAAATTATGGGCATCATTATTAAAGCAATTATTTTGAGTGAAAAATCCAAGGTGATAAATTGTATTTTTACCGCGGATACCATATATTAATTCTTTCAGAATTCGTTATGCTGTTTAAAAGATTGTAATTTCCAATACGTATATCTTATATGCTATAAATCTAATAAATAAAGGCAGACAATGAATTTTTGTGTGATAAATTTGGAAAATTGATGTTTTATTCGTGAATAAACAAATAAATCATTTATTTATACCATTGGCATTAAAATAAATTGAGCTATTGGAAATAAATTTGTTTAATAAATAGTAATATATATTTCTAATATACTATTTTATTGAACATATTTCATTATTTGTTTGTTTGATCGTTTTACATGGCTGGCTTGAATTTCACAGTATAATTAAAGTGTTAAGTGTGGGTTCTGAGACCAATCATTTTATTCAAAGCAGTTGTGCATTTAGGATCACCCATATGAATGTATATACATTTTGATATAGACTGTAGTGTAAAAAACATATTAATTTTTAACTAATTGGTAGATATCAGTTTAGGTTATTAAAAAAAATTGGAACTTTTGGGTACAGAACGTCTGTCAGGTCATCTAGTACATATATATATATATATATATATATATATATATATATATATATATATAACAATTCTCTGAAAGTTTTAGCTCTTAATATTAACGTTTAGATAGAGCGCAATTCAATCAAAGTTTGTATGGAAAGAGCATGGAAACAATTTTGAAAATTTAAAATATATATATATAATATATATGTAATAATATTTTTCAGATGGCAATCGAAATGTTGAGAAAACAATAAACTTGTTCACAGGCATTCTTATTCCATCCTTCAAGATGTGACTTCGATTTGATTACATTCTTTTATTTCTTTTTGGAACATCATTGTTTGTGAAGTAATAATTTCTTTATCATGTTTTTATTTTCGCTTTGTGTTTTGTATTAACTATTTGTCTATTTTGTTTCCACTGAGGCAGAGTCAAATTTGAGATTCCAAAAGTATGGATCTATTAAATTTATTTTTAGAATCATATCTTAGCTTTCTTTCTTTTTTATATCTGGATAGATGCCTGTTAACAATTGTATTGTTTTATCAATTTATATATTTATATTTATTTATTTATAATATATATATATATATATATATATATATAACATAATTTTACATGCTACTCACCGTTCATCTTCACATTATCTATTTATTTCACATTAGCATTTTATATTTTGGTGACAGTGACGTGGGATGGTCCATGCAATATGGTTTTTCAGAAAAAAATAGTTCACCAAAGTCAAGATGGTCCTCTGAGGAAAAATAAAGTTCAACTATTTTAAATATGATTTTTCTTATTTTTTAAGAGAATTACAGATCAAAGGTACATTTTATGGAACAATACAAGAAGGAATACCTATCAGACCATGATATGATGAGCTTACTGAATGTCGATAATTTTTTTTCTACGACTTCTAAGATTAAACCATACATACACTCAATTTCATATACGAGGTGTGTTCAAAAAGTACCCGGAATTACTAATAATTAAATTTCGCGGGTCTGGAGTGTCTGATTGTCAAAATTTTTTGAAGTAAAACTTCTTTAGGCGCGATATGGGTGTAAAAATTTCTTTAGGCTACACGGGAGTAAATCCGTACAAATGCAACGAAAACGCCAACGTGAAGTTGAACACTACGACGCCGTAAGCGCTGATGTCGCGAGTATGCACTCCCGTCATGTCATGCGTAAGTCGAACGCTAAACCCTATATGAACTCGCATTAATTGAATCACGTTTTTTTACAAAAGGAATATAATAAATTTATATTGAATTGAAAGTCTCGTTGAAGACAAAATAATATCTACTGACACGGATATTTATGTAGGTTGCCATGCGACAGATCAACAATCATACATTCGTCAGCAGTTTCACAAAAATCGGTTATTGATACCGGGGGTTTGCCGTATGAAATAATTTTAGTTCTGAATAAATTTTACATAATAACGACTAATATCGATGTAAGTGATGGCTTAGCTAATGATTGTGTAGGAAAATTAGTGTACATAGAACAATGTGGCGATAATGATGAACTTCTACGTTTATGGTTTGAATTTCCTGGTAAGATAGGTAACAAAATTAGGAAGAAAGCTGCACATCATATTCAAACTCTTAATATCAGTAGGACAGATGTGCCGATTCTCAGGAGATCTTCATCTATTCCAATGAATAGAAATAAAATCATATTTGCCAAAAGAAATCATTTTCCTTTAGTGTCTGCTTGTGCACTCACAATACACAAATCACAAGGTGGTACTTTTGATGAAATTGTATATGAATACAATAAAACACATAATCAGCAGCTTCTATATGTTGCATTATCACGAGTTACCAGCATTAATGGATTGTTCATCATTTCTAAAACAACGACAAAAAATTTTATCATGGAAGAAAACGGCCAGCAGGATTAATGGACTTACAAACTGAATTCCAAAGACTTTCAACTTGTAGATTAATAACACAAGAAGAAAAATTGAGTGAGATAATAAGTTTGAACGACATTTCATTGTTTTCCTTTAACTGCCAAAGCTTACGAGCTCATTTGCCTGATCTAGTGCTACAACGTTGTACGTTTTTGTTATTTTCAGAAACTTGGATTAATAATAAAGAACGAATTGATATTCAGAACTATTACTGCGTTACTCAATACAAACGATCAAACTCAAGAGCAGGTGGTGTAGCTGTTATATCATTCATGTTCAGATACTCTTCATAATGCCACTCCTATGCAGTTTCTTGCGCCAACAATATTACTGGATATTCCTAATGAAATTACACAAGTAGGTGATATATAGCAGTTGTCCGCCGTGTGAACACTCAGAATCAAACATTAATTATAGTCGTCCTTTAAATTTCTCCCAATAAAAACATATCAAATATTATTAAATTTCTTCATCAGCAGTTACTTCATTTTTCTAATGAGGGTGCAAAACTTTTAAACACTAATCACAACGAGATACCATTAATTCTTGCTGGAGATTTCAATGTCAATTTTCGTTCAGAAGAATCTCAACCATTAATTGATTTTTTAAATAATAAATTTAATTTAACAATGAACAATTCTCCATTTGAATCAACCACAAGATATGGCACGACTATTGATGCAGTTTTCTCCAGAAATGTACATAGTTTACAAAGCAAAATTTATGTTTCTCATTTCAGTTATCACAAACCTATTATATCATATATGAAATATGATAGCAATTAATCTATCGCTGTTGTTTTAAACTGTGTTATTGATGTTATGTGATTATTAATAAATGATATTTAAAATTCAAATATGATGTTTTTTTTATTTTTATCTTAATTGCCTACTCATACTATATTAAAAGTTTTACTTCAATCGCGTGTGATCCTTACGCGCACTCTTTTTTTTTATTGTGTTGGTATACATGCCCCTAAAGTATGATGAAATTTTCAGCTATATTCACTGTTTACTTTGTCTGTGGTAGTCGCTAAGGTTCGACGTGTTTTTCTGAGCTCGGCGATTTTTACAATGGAAGAATTGAAAAGTCAAAGAATTTGTATTAAATTTTGCGTAAAAAATGAAATAACGTGTTGCAAAGTGCAAAAATTCACCAGATATGGCTCCGTGTGACTTTTTCCTATTCCCAAAGTTGAAGAGACCCATGAAAGGACGGCGGTTTTCCTCGATTGAAGAAAATCGCTGAGAGTGCTCAAGGACATATCAAAAAGTGAATATCAAGGGTGCTTCGAAAATTGGAAAAAACGCTGGCATAAGTGTATTATATCTGGGGGGGACTACTTTGAAGGGGACCACATTAATGTAGACGAATAAATAAATATTTTTTTGAAAAAACGAAAATTCCGCGTACTTTTTGAACAGACCTCGTACATGTAAAAATTTGGATTCATCATTATAAAAAAGATCATAACTTCTTATTTGATTAAATAGTTAAATAATGAGATGGTGAATATATTTTGCTTTGATATTTCTCGAATTAATGATCCAGAACTATGAACATATTATATTCAATAATTGTTTAGAACCTGAACTCAAAATAAATTGAAATTAAAAGTTTACACAAGGTCTTTGCAATACAAAGTTTGGATAAATATAAATTTAAACTCGTACATTAGACTAATATTTTAATATTTTAATATTAGTTCAATTATAGTTTATTATAAAAGTGTCATTAAACTTAATAAGTAAACAATTGTGTGTAGGCTCACCTTGACAATAATTCCAATGTGATCATGGAGACAATTTCATTTTTTAGAAAACACATAATTTATACTTGTCCCGATCATAAATAAATCTAAAAATAAGGGTACATTAAAAGATTATGCAAACTCTTGGGCGTACAAGGTTTGTGTAAATATAATTTAAATGCATATGCATAGACAGATATTTTGATATCACAACGTACATGCATCTTTAATACCAGTTCAATTATGGATTATTATATAAAAGTCTCATTAAACTTAACAACTAAACAATTTTGTATATGCTCACCTTGACAATAATTCCAATGCAATCATGGAGTCAATTTCATTTTTTAGAAAACACATAATTTATACTTGTCCCGATCATATATAAATCTAAAAATAAGGGTACATTAAAAGATTGTGCAAACTCTTGAGCGTACAAGATTTGTGTAAATATAATTTAAATGCATATGTATAGACAGATATTTTGATATCACAAAGCACATGCATCTTTAATATTAGTTCAATTATAGATTATTATAAAAATGTCATTGAACTTAATAAGTAATCAATTGAGTATATGCTCACCTTGACAATAATTCCAATGCGATCATGGAGACAATTTCATTTTTTAGAAAACACATAATTTATACTTGTTGTCTCGATCATAAATAAATCTAAAAATGAGGGTACATTAAAAGATTGTGCAAACTCTTGGACGTACAAGGTTTCTGTAAATATAATTTAAATGCATATTTATAGACAGATATTTTGATATCACAACGCACATGCATCATTAATACTCGTTCAATTATACATTATTATAAAAGTCTCATTAAAATTAATAAGTATATAATTGTGTATATGCTCACCTTGACAATAATTCCAATTCCAAGGAAATCGTTGCATTAAATGTCTATATTTAATAAAAATATAGAAAACTTATGTGCAATGTTGTTTTGATTGCAAACTGTTATTGTATGAATTTGACACTTCACAGTATTTCATTTTTATTTAAACTTTGTTAAAATGTCAATTTTTACGCAGCTAAGTATTAATCTTCCACCATAAGTAGTATCTCTAAATGTGTAAATAATATTAACAGAATATATTTAAAAAAAACTACTTAAAAATTAAATAATTCACGCCATAGATAAATAAACTCACGTGTAGATAAATAAGCGCGAAGACTGTTGTGAAGTTGTAAACACTCAGCCATTACAATGTTGGTATGCTGTTTTTAAGTTGTCACACGTGTTGCCAATGTCAGACTGAAAAAGAAATGTCAAACATAAAATCAAAGTGTTTTATGAAATTATATTGAATATAAACAAAACTATTATAAATATTTATTATTACACATGAATTATTATTATTATTATAGTATTATTAGTTAAAAGCATATAAATTGTAAGTCTCATCAACTTTTATATTTATTTATTTGATATAATTCGTACATACTGTATTCAGTTTTGTAGTCAGTCAGACAATTGTTCTGGTATGAGAGATCACAGCAATTATAACAAAAATAAAATCTAAATTTTATGTAACAGACTTACATTAAGGCATCTATATAAATCTTTTAAGAAGTCCTCTTTAGTTAATGTCGGAAAATGTCTGAAGAAACAATTTCAATGGCAACAATTAAAATTGAACCCCTTGAATATCCTCAAGTTAAACAAGAATTTGATGATTATGAAATAACAGAAATATATCCTGAAAATGAAGAAACACCTCCACAGCTATTCTTAAAATCTGAGGAAGAAATAAAGCTTGAAACCATTGATGAGCAAGATGTTTGTTCTAGTGAAGACGATGCAAACTTAGATCAAACAACCTATAATTCGAAACAACTCCTAAAATGTAAAACATGCAACAAAACATTCAAAACAAATTATAAATTAAAACAACATGAAATTATCCATACCGGAGAACGCCCTCAAAGATGTGAGACCTGCGATAAAACATTTAAAACAAAACAGGCTTTAAACCTACACAAATCGATACACATTCAAGAACGCCCTTATAAATGTCAAACATGTGATAAAACATTCAAAACCAAAGGATTATTAAACCAACATGAAATTATTCACAACGCAGAACGTTGTCATAAATGTGAAATATGCAACAAAGTATTTACCAAACAATGTTTATTAATCCAACATAAAATAATACATACTGGAGAACGCCCTTACGAATGTGATTTGTGCAACAAAACATTCATTAGACAAGATGCCTTAAAAGTGCATCAAATGATCCACACTGGAGAACGTCCTCATAAGTGTACCACATGCAATAAAGCATTCTCAAGAAAAGAAGCATTACATCAACATCAATTATTACACACCGGAGAACGCCCATTTAAATGTGCTTTGTGCAATAAAGCATTCAGGATAAAAAAAGAATTAAAACAACATGAGCTTATCCATACTGGAGAACGACCTCACAAATGTGCGATATGCAATAAAGCATTCAAAACAAAACAAGAGTTAAAACTACATGAAAAGATCCATACTGAAGAACGCCCCTATGAGTGCAATATATGCAATAAAACATTCAAAGTGAAACAATCTTTAAACCAACATACAAAGATTCATTCTGGAGAACGACCTTACCAATGTGATATTTGCAAAAAAGCATTTTTGAGAAAGGATGCTTTGTTTCAACATCAGAAAATTCATACAGCGAAACAAGGTTAACTTGGAACCATGTGAAGAAATCAAAAAATAGTTTTAATAAATTGAATATGATAAATAAATTTGTAATTAGATGACTTTGTGATACTTTTAGAAATAAATATTGTAATAAGTACCATAAGATAAATGTTTTATTTAAAAAAAAATATATATTCCTTTGCATGGTCTATAATTATAAAATTAATTTTGTTTATACTTTGAAATGTCTGTGTATCTTCCAGGTGACGTAAACGCTACGTTTGCCGTTACATCTGTTACGTTATATTAACGTTTTAATTACGTTTTGTGGTTTACTGAGTAGTAATGATTTTTTACACAAATTGCATATATGAATTACGTTTTTAGGTATATGTCTATCTTGTGCTAATTATATATCTATTGATACAAACAATAAAACTAGTGGTGTGTAGCATCTTAAGGCAAATTGCTGGAACATCCAGTAATGAAATATTTAAGGAATATTAAATGTTTACAAGTAGATTATTATAAATACTGTAACGTTCATTATTTGTATTTTATTGACGAAATATGAGAGCTTATAAATTGGATGTTGATTTTTATATATGCTTACATAAAAAGTAAATAAACAAAAGTTGATCAAGTGGAGTTAGAATGAATAAACTTATTTCATATTTCTAAGAATTATATAAAACTGAATTGCAAAGTTAAAAAGGGATATATGTGAGCTTTAAAACTAAAGAATTAAAATTAAAATACAAATTATTTTCGATATCAAAAAAATATTTTTTTTAGAATTAAAAACAATAAAATTTCTCCAAAAGCAATCGTTTTCTGAATCATTCAAATCTGATGCTTGGTTACCTCAAAAACTACCTTTTTTGCACATTTAGCTCCGTATCTCCGAAACGGTTGCACCTGTCTTTTCCAAAAACCAATCACTACTTCTCCCCATCATTACGAATTAAACGCTTTTTTTAATCAATCAAATCGAATACTCCGTTATCTCAAATACTCAATTTCTATTTTCTGCACTCTTTGCTTTGTATCTCCGTAACGGCTGCAACTGTTTTTTCAAAGAACTAATCACTACTTCTCCTCATAATTACAACTTGAATGCTTTTTGAATCATTCAAATCGGATACCCTGTACTTACAAAAAATTAACTTCCATTTACCGCATTCTTCGCTTCATATCTCCGGAACGGCTGGACCGCTTTTGCCAAAAACTAATCAGCACGTTTCCCTATCAATAGGAATCAATTACTTTTCGAATCATTCAAATCGGTTGATCCGCACGCCCGAAATCGTCGACGAAAAATTGTATCCACACATATGCACACATCCATTTTTTCTAAGCTATGCCAAAATGTTCAGAAATCTTGAAAAAAAAACACCTCCATTATCCATATATAAATAATCATTGTTAAGTAATGAACCTTATTTAGTAACGGTTGCACACCCCTGGCATAGTAGCAGGTTGTGGATACCTGCGATGCACCGTTACCTGCCGGGTATTAAACCTCAGCAATGCAAACAATTGAGGTTCTTTCGGAACAGTCGGGGTTAGTTGGATCATCGCAATCATCGAGTACCTGGAGGCACGTGGAGGTAATATACCGTTCTTTTATTTGTAACAAACTTCATGTGGACGCCATGTTTGTTTTTAATCCACATGGTTTGTAAAGAAAGAAATGTTCGTTCTTACTTTTGTGGACTTCAAGGAGGCAACATTTAATTGAAATAAAGAGAGCCTGGCGTAAGACAAATAGTTATTGTTGTTATTATATATGTATTGCATTATATTAATTAATATTATGTGATATTATGGTATCAATGAAAAAGTAGAACATCTAACATGTTGTATCGCTTAAACTGAATCAAAGATTAATACAGTTCTGTTTGAAAGTCATAAGAACTTAATGTATTCACATTTCTTGGGAAAACTCTGCTGCAAAGAAAAATTTACATCACTTTATTTGTAGGTACTCCTAGGTTGTGAAGAATAATACGCCCCATATGAAAAAAAGATTTTGTTGATAAAATACATTACTGGATCATATTGAATTGGACCACAGAATTGAAATAAAATATGAAGAACCAAATTTTTCTCCACTTAATGGTTTGTTAATTTTTAATTACTGATATCACCAAAGCAGTTCTGTATAATTTTCATACTTTTTTGTAGATTTTTACACATGGAAAAATGTAACTGAGCAACAGGATTTCTCTTACTATGTGAAAGACAATACAGGAAGCAAAACAAATGAAAGAACTAGAATTATGCATTATAATTGCAATAGATCGTATCTATCATAAGAAGAATCCTGCAGAAGATCGTATACCTTTAGGCAGGTTTCCGAAAGAAAGTAAAAAGATTGGATTTGCATATCCCACCCAAATGATATTCACATTATATAATGGTCAAATGGTTGATAATTATTGAAAGAATCATTTGGGACATGAGAAACTGGCCAAATTTGTTCCAATGGACAAGGATTTACTGAGGGACATCAAAGGTATATTTATTGATCACAACATCTTGATATAATTTGTTTCTTTTGTACAATTTTGCTTCTTTTGCTTCCATCATTTTGTAATGTTAGTAAGTTAGGTAAGTTAGTAAATAATTAAGTAATGTTATCATTGTCATTTATAAAATCAATAAATCAACTGGTATAATATTTGCAGAAAAAAATATTGCTGAAGAGATGATGACAATGTGTTTCATATCTTAAGACAAAGAGTTTCCACAATAACGAATAAAGAGTTGTGGAACATGTAGAGGAAGGTTTTGCCCTAAATGTAAAGATGATAGTCAGTGCGGTTAGAGCAGTCAGTCAGTCAATGTGGTTAGAAAAGATGAGGACAAATAATCGATTCAAGGTTCTTTCATGAAGAAGTTGGACCTGGCACAGCTGATTATGAGCTTCAAGATGAAGATTACTACTTTAGACTAAATCGCAGTCTAAAATGTTGAAGAACTTCGGTAGCGATAGAGTTTGGTTTGATACTACACATGAAACCAATGGCAAAGGCTATCTATTACATACACTACTTGTGGTTAATGAATGTGGAAGAGGGATCCAGGAGAATGAAAGACTTATGAAAATCTGGCTAAATTTGCTCCAAAAGACAAAGATTGAGGGACATTAAGGTATATTTATTGATCACAACATCTTGACATCGTTTATTAAAGCATGTACAATTTTGCTTCCCTCATTTTATAAATAATTTTATCAACGTCATTTACAAAATCAAATCTCAACTAGATTAATATTTGCAGAAAAAATTATAGCTGGAGTTAATGACGATGTGGTTAGCAGCACAATATGTGAAGCTTCATATCATGAAACATTACCACAGAGAGCCTTCTTGAAAATGAAGAAAAACTTGTGGAACATGAAGAAAAAGGTTTTGCCCTCATATTTGCCTAAATGTAATGATAATACAATTAATGTGACAATGTGGTTAGAAGGAATGAGAACAAATAATCGATTCAAAAAGGTGAACCTGACCAGCTAATTATGGGCTTCAAGATGAAGATTACATTTTTGCAATAAAGACTATAACACAGTCTGAAAAGTCAAAGGATTTTGGTACCGATAGAGTTGGCATTGGTGCTAATAAGGAACCAATGGCTATCAAGGATCTACTGCATACACTACTTGTGATTGATGAATGTGTAAGCGAAATCCCAGTTTTTCGAATCGGATAGAATGGAAGACTCATGAAAATCTGGCTAAATTTGCTCCAAAAGACAAAGATTGAGGGACATTAAGGTATATTTATTGATCACAACATCTTGACATCGTTTATTAAAGCATGTAAAATTTTGCTACCGTTATCTTATAAATATAATGTTATCATTGTCATTTACAAAATCAATGAATCAACTGGTACAATATTTGCAGAAAAAATTATAGGTGGAGTTAGTGACAATATGGTTGTCAGCACAATATGTGAAGCTTCATACCAAGAAACATTGTGACAGAGAGCTTTCTTAATAACGAAGAGAAAATTGTGGATAATGAAGAAAAAGGTTTTGCCCTCATATTTGTCTAAATGTAATGATAATACAAATGACAATGTAGTTAGAGGGAAGGACAAGAAATAATCGATTCAAAAAGGTGGACTTGACTAGCTAATTATGGGCTTCAAAATGAAGATAACATTTTAGTAAAAATGATTAAAACGCAGTCCAAAATGTTAAAGGACTTTGGTACCAATAGAATTGGCATTGATGCTAATAAGGAACCAATGGCTGCTGGACCTGACCAGCCAATTATGGGTTTCAAAATGAAGTAAACATTTTAGTAAAAATGACTAAAACGCAGTCCAAAATGTTAAAGGACTTTGGTACCAATAGAATTGGCATTGATGGAAGGAACCATGGCTGCTGGACCTGACCAGCCTATTATATGGGCTTCAAGATTAAGACTACATTTCAGTAATAATGACTAAAACGCAGTCTGAAATGTTAAAGAACTTTGGTACCAATAGAATTGGCATTGATGGAAGGAACCAATGGCTGCTGGACCTGACCAGCCTATTATATGGGCTTCAAGATTAAGATTACATTTCAGTAATAATGACTAAAACGCAGTCTGAAATGTCAAAGGATTTTGGTATCGAAAGAGGTGACATTGATGCTAATAAGGATCCAATGGCTGGTGGACCTGACCAGCCAATTATGGGTTTCAAAATGAAGATAACATTTTAGTAAAAATGACTAAAACGCAGTCCAAAATGTTAAAGAACTTTGGTACCAATAGAATTGGCATTGATGGAAGGAACCAATGGCTGCTGGACCTGACCAGCCAATTATAAGCTTCAAGATTAAGATTACATTTCAGTAATAATGACTAAAACGCAGTCTAAAAAGTCAAAGGATTTTGGTACCGAAAGAGGTGACATTGATGCTAATAAGGATCCAATGGCTGGTGGACCTGACCAGCTAATTATGGACTTCAGGATAAAAACATATTGAAGGACTTTGGTACCAATAGAGTTGGCATTGGTGCTAATAAGGTACCAATGGCTATC